TTTAATAGAGGTAAAGTTGTTGTTTTAATCACACATTCCAGAAGTCAACGTAGTTGCGCATAATCTGATAATGGTGAATGAAAGTTATAATAATAATAATAATAATAATAATAATAACAATTCTGTGTTCCTAAATGCTCCAAAAGCTTTTATCAATTAATTTTTTTCTTTACATTTCCAGTGTTCCCAGAAATCAATGTAATAGCGAAAGTGGTGAACGGAAGTTTGAGTATTTATTTTGTATTCCTAAATACTCTTATAGCAACAGAAGTAAAGTAATAAAATTTTAAAATGCAAAAAAATCTATCATGTATTTTTTAAATTGCTATTAGAGTATTTAGGAATACTGAATAATATAATATGTACTCAATAACTTTATCTTCCATTTATCGCTATTGAAGTTTACGCAACTACGTTGGCTTCTAATCCCGGAAATGTGAAAAAAAGTCAATTATTAAATTGATAAAAATTGTATTGTGTATTTTTTCATTGCTATTAAAGTTTTTAGGAATACCAATTTAATATTGTTACTTCCGTTCTCCACTATCGAAGTTTGTGCAACTATGTTAACTTTTGAAAATGTGAAAAAAGGGCATTTTTAAGTTGCTAAAAATTGTCTTTTTTTTGTTGCTATTAGAGCATTTAGCAATACAAAGAAATATAATTATTTAAACTTCTGTTCACCTCTATAAAAATTTACGCAACTATGTTGACTTCTGGGAACAATGGAAATGTAAAAAAATTCTAATAATTAAACTAATAAAAATTATGTCATGTATTTTTTTTAATCGCTATTGGAGTTTTTTAGGATACAATTTAGGAATACAATATAATTATTTTATCTTCTGTTCAACACTATCAAAGTTTTTAACCAACTAAGGTGACTTTTGGGAACACCAGAATTGTGGGAAAAATGTCAATGTTTAAACATTCTTGAATAAAAACTGACTAATTTGTTTGACTTTTCTCCTCATGTTCTCAGGTGGCAGACTGAAGCTGTGAATATGAGTGATGATAAACCGTTCCTCTGCACTGCTCCTGGCTGCGGACAGGCATGTGATCTCTCTTAAAGCTCTAACACACATTTAAAGCTGCAGGGTCACATTTCTGTTTGGGGCGGTTTGCACCAAGTTTGTTAGTTTTGCAATTTTTAATTGTTTTTTATTTTGAAATATGCTATACATTTCAGTTTGTTTAATTAATGGAGTTTTAATTTTTATTTTGTGATCAGATTGCTATTTTGTTATTCATGTTGAACAGAACACGTCATCATCAGAACAGCGTCAACCAGAGCAAAGTTTAGCATTAAGATGAACTCTTGTTCAAACCTCTTAAAAGTCATAAAATAAAATAATACGTAGTTTTAACAGACACTGAACCCAAAACTACACAAATTCAACTTAAATGAATAAAAGTAGAAATGATAAAGAAATCAGACAAACTTCCTCATATCAAAGATCATGTGTGTAGTTAAACATGTTAGGAAGTGGTTATAAAATATTTAGAAAATTAAGGAATGTGTTTATTTGGCCAGCGCGGTGGCACAGTGGGTATTGCTGCGGCCTCACAGCAAGTAGGTCACTGGTTCAAGCCTCAGCTGGGTCAGTTGGCGTTTCTGTGTGGAGTTTGCATGTTCTCCCTGTGTTGGCAAACATATGTGCTATAGGTGAATCGGGTAAGCTAAATTGTCTTTAGTGTATGAATGCGTGTATGAATGACTGTATATGGGTGTTTCCCGGTGATGGGTTGCATATGGAAGGGCATCCGCTGTTTTAAACAAATGCTGGATAAGTTGGCGGTTCATTCCGCTGTGGAAACCCCTGATTAATAAAAGGACTAAGCCGAAAAGAAAATTAATAAATTAATAAATTTGTTTGTTTATAAAAGTGCGTCTACAGATGTTTTTCTAAACTGCCACAGGTTTTCTTTCTACTATGAGTGCCTTGTAATTCTGAAAATTTATATTTATTAATTTATTAAATTGTTTGTTTATTATTTACTTAATTAGTTTTTATTTTCAGCATGATAATTAGTCGCTAATTGCAGTGAAATGCTGTTTGGAGACCGAAACGCAGGCAGTCATGAAATGGCCTCCACAGTGTCCAGACCTGAATATTATAGAGTCTGTATCGGATCATCTGGACCAGCGATCACCAACATGGTGCCCGCTGACACCAGGTAGCCCGCGAGGATCACATGAGTGGACCTGTTATAAAATTAGCTTACCATAGCAACACAAACCAGTAAGCTGCATCTAATTTTTTCTGTAGCTATTCTTTTTAAATCACACTTGCATTGGTTGATATTTATCTGTTTCCAATCATTGTTGACAACTATTGAGAAATCATTAACATGATCAGTGTCTTCACATAGATGAATATCATTAATTAATAATAACATATAATTAAAAGTAAATTGAGCAAATTTGTTATTAGGAAGTGTGTATCAAACTGGTAGCCCTTCACATTAAACGATACCCAAGAAGTAGCTCTCAGTTTCCAAAAGGTTGGTGACCCCTGATCTGGACAGAAAAAGAAAGATATGATGCTTTAAACCCAAAGAAGAACTCTGGAAAGTGCTGAAAGAAGCCTGATATTATTATTACACAGCACATTAGTTCAGAAAATGTCAGGACAATAAGAACAACAGCCAAGAGAAGCCACATTAAACAGACTTTAGCTTACAGAGGAAATGTTGAGTTGTTGTTGTTGTTGTTTTTTTGTACATATTTCATATATTCTTTGTTTCGAATAAAGAGACTTAATAATTATATTGTGCAAAAGTCATAGGCCAGGGGTGTCCAAACTCGGTCCTGGAGGGCCGGTGTCCTAGAGAATTTAGTTCCAACCCTAATCAAACACACCTGAAGCAGCTAATCAAGCTCTTACTAGACATATTAGAAACTTTCTGGCAGGTGTGTTGAAGCAAGTTGGAGCTAAACTCAGCAGGACACCGGCCCTCCAGGACCGAGTTTGGACATCTCTGGCTGCGTCCGAAACCGCCTACTACTCAGTAGGTACTGCATTTGAATTTAAACGTACTACTCGGCCGTTAGAAAAGTTCATTCTATACAGTATGAATGTGAAAAGTATGAATGGAATCCGGACGTACTACATCCGCCATTTAGTCATGGTCATGTGACCTACTCACGTCAGTTGCGTCGCCTCACTTCCATTCATGAATTCTCTCACGGGGCATTATGAAATAGCGTAGCGTGCATGGGATACACACTTCAGAATCTCGCCGGAAGTAGTAAGTCATCCGAGTACTTCTCGCATACTGATTTTCGAATTCTATGAATTCGGACATACTACTCGGCTCGCATACTGATTTTAGCGTACTATATAGTATGGAAGTATGCGGTTTCGGACGCAGACACAGTTCTAGTATATCTACTAGGAGCTTGATTAGCTTGTTCAGGTGTGTTTGATTAGGGTTGGAGCTAAACTCTCCAGGACACCGGCCCTCCAGGACCGAGTTTGGACACCACTGTCTTAGGCCAACAAAGCTGCTATCGTGCTTAGGATTTTTGCACAGTACTATATTATTTTTGCCAGTTATTATTTCATTTCAGTTTTTCAGTAAAAGGGAATTTTTTTTAATGATATTTCAGTTAACCATAATGTTTTCGACCAGTAGTTTTAATCTCAGTTTTTGTCTGCGACAGCGATTCACAAATGAAGACCACCTGGCGGTGCATAAACACAAGCATGAGATGACCCTGAGGTTCGGACCGGCGCGCAGCGACAGCGTCATCATTGCTGGTGAGTCTGAGAGCACCCGGAGAAAATCAAACCAAGCTTTCATTATTCATGTATTTACAGCTTTATGGGCTTCTATTGCAGACCAGACGCCGACACCGACCCGCTTCTTGAAGAACTGCGAAGAGGTGGGCCTGTTTAACGAGCTCACCAGCCCATTTGAGCATGACTTTAAAAAGGCCACGGAGGAGGACATTAAAAAGGTAAACACGCCAATTTATTCTGCAGTTCGTGCAATGGTTTAGCAGATGCGCTTGCATTCACCGATTGGGGGTCAGTAAGATTAGTAATGTTTTTCGAAGAGTCTCTGAGCTCATTAAGACATTGGTTTAATTGAAAAAAAATATACATAAATGTTGTCACTTCAAAATGACTGTTTAGGCAGCACGGCGGCGCAGTGGGTAGCACAATCTCCTCATAGCAAGAAGGTCACTGGTTTGAGCCCCGGCTGGGTCAGTTGGCGTTTCTGTGTGGAGTTTGCATGTTCTCCCTGCGTTTGCGTGGATTTCCTCCTGGAGCTCCGATTTCCCCAACAAGTCTAAAAACATGTGGTACAGGTGAATTGGGGAAGCTAAAATTGTATGTGTATGCGTGTGAATGAGTGTGTATGGATGTTTCCCAGTGATGGGTTGCAGCTGGAAGGGCATCCGCTGTGTAAAACGTATGCTGGATAAGTTGGCGGTTCATTCCGCAGTGGCGACCCCAGATTAATAAAGGGACTAAGCCGAAAAGAAAATGAATGAATGAATGAATATTTAATAAACTGTCTCTGCAATATGATAATATCATAGTACTTGTCACTATGAAATATTGTTGTAAACTATATTCTGCAAAATTTTGCAATTTATTATCTTTTTCCAACTTCAAATTATCTTCCAAAAGGAAAACTTTGGCAACATCTTTTAACTAAATTATAGTTTTCCCTGGTTTTAACTGTATATTCAGTTTATGTCATTCCAAATAAATGGGATTGTCAAGCACTTGTCAAGCACTACATACATATTTATTTATTTATTTATTTATTTTTCTTTAGATGTATTGACATGAACTCTGGACCTTTTATGTGCTCTTTGTAATTGGGATAATCAGGGAATAACACACACCTGGCCATGGAACAGCTTAGAGGCCAATTGTCTAATTATTTTTGGTCCCTTAACAAGTGGGAGGCACATATGCAAACTGTTGTAATTCCTACAGCGTTCACCTGATTTGGATAAAAATACAAGTTTTGGATTGAAATACCAATTTCAATACTCAAATTAAAGCTGACAGTCTGCAGTTAAAGCACATCTTGTTTGCTTCATTTCAAATCCCTTGTGTTAGTGTATAGAGCCAGAAAAATGTTAGAATTGTGTGTATGTCCAAATATTTATGGACCTAACTGTATATTGGGTCATATAATGGGATGTAATGTTGTCTCTGAAAATATTGCAATACTATATATATATATATATATATATATATATATATATATATAATTATTATTATTATTTATTATTGTGAGAAAAGGGAGTATTATCAAGCATTATTTGTACGTTCTTAATAAAACATTCAAACAACACAGAAGTTCAGCACAGAACACAGTGGATTAAAGGGATAGTTTACCCAAAACTGAAAAATCTGCCAACATTTACTCCTCCTTGACATGTTCCTTCTCTTGTGTATGTGTATATGTGTTTTGCAGTTGCCGCTGGACTTGTCTCCTCTTGCAACTCCAGTTGTTCGAAACAAAGTAGAGGAGCAAACACCCATGGAGTCGCACCGAGACAGTCCTCTTCCCCACCCAGAGTCGACTACCACTGATGACAAGGTGAGACACAGACAACTGCCGAAATACTTGCAGTAATGCTGGGATTCATTTTAGGATCTCCATATTAGCTAGTGGTTGTAAACCAGGGGTGTCCTGGAGGGCCGGTGTCCTGCAAAGTTTAGTTCCAACCCCAATCAGACACACCTGAGCTAGCTAATCAAACTCTTACTAGGCTTTCTAGAAACATCCGTGCAGGTGTGTTGAGGCAAGTTGGAGCTAAAATCTGCAGGACACCGGCCCTCCAGGACCGAGTTTGGACACCCCTGTTGTAAACTAAACCTTATTCCAAATGGCACACTTCAGACTTGTGGACTTTTTCAGAGTCTGCACTAATAAGGCCAGGACACACTAAGTCGACACCAAACAACTAGCACCAATGAAATCCAACTGTGTTGCGTTGTGTTGGATTGCATCTGGACCAACAAGATGTGCATGAACCCACCAAACAGATGTAAAGAGAATGTGTCTTTCCACATCGTCGGGGGCAGAATCTATTTTTTTGTTCCACAAAGGGAAACTGAACTTCCAGCGTCAACAAATAATCTAATAATCCATATTGTTTGCAAATATTTGAGAAATGTAGCAAAATTACAGCCGGCTTCTTTGTGTCTCTTCTTGGCTGGAGTGGTTTACTTGCTACGTCACTTCACTATGTCACACTCACGCTCTGATTCATTGCTGAATATCCAATCAGATCTCTCTCTTTAGCTGATGGCCGACACTGATTCAACATGCTGTACTGGCCAGTGAGCTCCGATGTTAAAGACTGGTTTATACTTCTGCGTTGAGTGATCGGTATGACCCACGGTGCATGCCTTCCGAAACGCTAGCTGGCAGTAGGTTTTTATGTCCCTCTGTGTCAAGTTTCTTTGCAGGTGTTTTGTTTTTTCTGAACGCTACCTTAATATACAAGTAGCTAAAGCTCGTTAATTCAGATTCGGGAACCAGTGGACATGCAGCGACTTTAATTATAAGGTTAACACAAAACAAGTTTCCATCTGCAGAACCTTCACAGGACTCGATATTTGTAAACACTCGGGCTCAGTGCTCTATGTCCCACCCACACTTGTCACCGTTACCAAGCCGACCAATCACAGAGCTTGCGCTATGCACTGTTACGACATGTAGTTAATTTTTTTGAGAGGTGCGCGTCAGCGTCGTATCAACCACGGAAAGGACTGCAAAGGCTGTGCGTGACCATATGCATGCGATTGAAGCAGAAGTATAAATCAGCCTTAAGCTGACGAGTGGAAAACACCAAAACAACTAGCCACTTGGTGTGTCCTGGCCCTAAGGAAGTCATATAGTGTAGACCTTAGGGCAGGGTTGGCCAACCTAACTTCTGAAGTTAGTGCCCTAACTTTTTTTTGTTTACCCCAACTATTTCGTCGAGTATATCGGGGCCTTGAGACACAGCAAATTGTGGTGACCTAATTTTGTGGTTCCCTGCCTTTTATTCTTAAAATCTTATCCCAAATTTTAACTTTTAAAATCTTTAAAGGTAAAGTTCACCTAAAAAATTTAAATTTGTATTATATATACATTATATACATTTAATATACTCAACCTCAGGCCATTGAAGATGTAGGTGACTTTTTTTCAGAAGCACATTAAAGATGTAAATAGAAAAATGGTTTGTTTTTCTGCCGTTATAATGGTGCCTGGGTCATTTTTGACTCAACAAAAGACAACAGGAGGGTTTAACACCTTAATCATACTATTATCTTGCAGTTAATAATTATCCTCTCCATATGCACCAAACACTTTATATCAATAAGGAAAGCAATTACTTATGAATGCTTCAAAAATTATGTTGCACTACTAAATACCTCTATATCTTGCACAATATTGTTCTGACTTGTGTAGACTGTCTTAGGTTATGTGTATTGTTTAGTATTTGTAGTATATGTATAGTTAGTAGTTGGTATAGTAAGATTGCCGCTTAAATATGTTAGTTATTTATAGGTTTAAAATAGCTCTTACGTCCAGTGATGTGTTCATGTTTAATGATTGTGTTTGTTCATGTGGTCCTGCGAGAGACAATTTTATTCCATACACATAGCGGAATGATGTTAAAGCTCAACCTGAGCTTGACTACTGATGTCCATGCAAACGTAGCCAGTGTAAGATCGGTGTAGTTGTGTTGATGCAGCTTGGCTCTCGTGTGGTGTTTTCAGGAGGTTTCTTTGCAGCCGCCCTCTCTGCCTCCGTCCACTATAGTCCGCCCTCCATCCCTTCAAGTCCCCAATGTGCTTCTGGCCAACTCTGAGGCTGGTGTTGTTATTCAGCAAGCTCTCCCGTCACCAACATCTAGCTCTGTTATAACCCACGTCCCGTCCTCTAGTAGACCCATAGTGTAAGTAACTTCCAAACGTGTTACTTATTCTGCTTGTCTCTTAGGCCCTGTCCACACGTACACGGGTATTTTCCAAATCAACAGTTTTTTTTCTACATTGTTTCACTGTTTGTCCACATGAAAACGAAGTATCAATGACTGAAACTGAAACTTTCTGAAAACCCCAGCAAGAATGAGGAAACTTTTCAGAAACTCTGGGTACAGTGTTGTCGTGTGAACACTACAACCAGAGTTTTCGCCTCATGACGTCAGTGTGCACTCGGTTTTCGCTTTTCTGATTGGCCAACATGGCCAGTTTCACACCAAACATGGAAGACAATGAGGCAATTTCTGAATTCTGAGTGTGTTCTCACTGCAGCCTGTTGCACAATGACATTCTTAATCAGGTCCAATACGTAGTGGACATGTACAGTATTCGTGAGAAGTTGTTACTGGAATTAGGGTTAGGTTATTACGAGAATTATTTATATGAAGTATTAAATTACCAATTACATTGTCATATTAGCATTTACACCTACCCCAACCTTAAACCCAACCCTCACAGTTATTAACATCTAAACCTACCCCAACCTTAAACCTGGCCCTCACAGTTAAAACAGTCAACACCTATCCCAACACTAAACCCAACCATCAGTTATTAACTACTACACTTACCCCAACCCTAAACCCAATCCTCACAGTTATTAACGTCTACACCTACACCAACCCTCACAGCTATTAACGTCTACAGCAGGGGTGCTCAATCCTGTTCCTGGAGATCTACCTTCCTGTACAGTTTAGCTCCTACCCTGATCAAACCCACCTGAACCAATTAATTAGGACCTGAAATCCACTTGATAATTACAGACAGGTGTGTTTGATAAGGGTTGCAACTGAAATCTGCAGGAAGGTAGATCTCCAGGAACAGGATTGGCCACCCCTGGTCTACACCAACCCTAAACCTAACCATCACAGTTACTAACGTCTACACCTACACCAACCCTCACAGTTATTAACGTCTACACCAACCCTAAACTCAACCCTGTTATAAACATCTACACCTACCTCAATCTAAACCCAATCCTCACATTTATTAACCTTTACACCTAACCCAACTCTAAACCCAACCCTCACAGTTACTAATGTCTATATCTAACCAAACTCTAAACCAAACCCTCACAATTACTGAACACAACCCTCAAAGTTATTAATATGTACACCTATCCCAACCCTAAACCCAATCCTTACAGTTATTAATGTCTGCAATTAGGCCAATTCTAAACCCAATTCTCAGTTAATTACTAAACCTACCTCAACACTAAACTCAACCCTCACAGTTATTAAAATCTACACCTACGTACCTCAACCCTCACAGTAAGTAACGTCTACACCTACCCCAACCCTAAACCCAACCCTCACAGTTATTATTATCTACACCTACCCCAACCCTCACAGTTATTAATGTCTACACCAACCCTAAACCCAAACCCCAGAGTTCTTAACATCTACACCTACCCCAACCCTCAAAGTTATTACCGTCTGCACCCACCCCCAACCCTAAACCCAAACCCCACAGTTTTTAACATCTACACCCACCCCAACCCTAAACCCAACACTCACAGAAGCATGGTTGTTACAACATCAACAACATATTGCACCTGATCCAGTCATCGTGCTACAGACTGCAGCCAGGACATCTTGCAATTCCCATGTTTGCATCGACTTGTATGCAGTTTACTAGGGCAAATAGTTAATTCCCCGTTTGGTGTGAACCCTTTATAAAAGCGTCATTATCTCCACCTATTGGTTTGGCATGAATTTAACATGCATCACAGTGCGTTTTTGCCGTTTTCATGGGGACAAAAATTAAAGCTGCGAAAACGCTTGTCTAAGAAAATACCCATGTACGTGTGTACATCGCCTTAGTCTGGCATCGTTTTCTCCTTTAGACGCCTCATTTGGTGTTTGGTTTTCGTTTGCCATTCATTTGGAGAGTTTATAATTTGGTTTAAGTTGCTTGTGATTTACGTGTCTTTAATTTCACATCATCACATTATTATTAAGTGCTTGATCATTAGAGCGTTTTATTTTGATTTGGTTTCGCACATCAGTTGAAGAGAAATATGTTGCTTTGTTTTATGTTCAAGTCTTGTCACTTAAAGTCAACATGAACACAAAAATTAGCTTTTTTAAAATACAGCTCTTCTTTAATTTGACGCAGATAGAACCTTATAATTCCAAGGTGACGAAATAGTTTTGAAACAAATCTCTGCGCTTAACAAACAACATTAAATATGTGGGCTAATGGATGTCTTCAGTGGAGTGAGTTTCCACAGTTTCCTTACTCCAACAAAATAAGGAGTAAAGTAAAGAGTAAAAGTAAAGAGAAAGTATAGAGACTGAATGGCGGAGGCTTGTTCTTTATCCTCGTGCTGCAGATGCTCTGTTTAACTATTTTCTCGCCAGTGAAGCGTTCAGTTTTTACACTTATAAAGTCTGCCATGTAAATAGCAAATGCGCCATGGAGCGACACAGCTGACTCTTAAAGGGGATTAAAGACGAGACTCAGATTGGTTTAATGCACGTTATGCTCAAAACACACCCAGAACTCATTAGAAGAATAAGCACAACCCTGTTAAGACCATCCGCCTGGGTGCAGACCTTATTTACCATCCTTACAATAGTAAAAGTGGATTCGGACACGCCCTTAATGCGTTTGCGCCATGAGCTTTAGACTTTGCACCTAGATCATTAAAATAGAGCGCAAAGAGTTCAAATCTGTAATTATTTTCCCTCATTATTTAAAATCTACTTAAAAATGCTGCATGTTTGAGCTAAAATGCTAATCTGGTGTTCATGTTGACTTTAAATTACGGTGCTGCTTGTATATGTGGTTTGTTAATGTGTATGTGTGTTTGTGTATTGAATGTCTTTCTGCTAACTCTGCTGTTTGTTTCTCTGTCTTCAGTCCCGTGTCCGGCACCTTTCCGGTTCTGCTTCAGCTGCCGAACGGTCAGACCATGCCGGTCGCCATTCCAGCCACCATCGCCAGCTCCAGCGTGCACATACCCACTGCCATTCCTGTGAGTGTGCATCTCTCCGCATTTTACTCTTACATCTATGATTAGCAAAACGAGCAGTCTCTCAATGATGCATCGATGAGGAGTGTAACACAAAAGCTTCTGGGTTTCAACTCAACAATGCAAATGGAAAGTAAAGGGGCAAGCTCTTGGAGAATCTGTGAAAATATGTGTGTGTGTGTGTGTGTATTTGTGTGTGTGGGTTTCTGTTTGTTTGCATATGTGTCTGTTTGTGTGGGAGTGTGTGTCTATTTGTGTATGTGCACGCATCTGTGTATGTGTGTGTGCGTTTGTTTGTCTCTGTGTGTGTGTGTGTATGTGTGTATGTGTCTGTGTGTGTGTGTGTGTTTGTTTGTGTGTGGTGTGTGTCTGTTTGTTTGTGTGTCTGTTTGTCTGAATGTGTATGTGTCTGGTTGTGTGTGTGGTGTGTGTGTTTGTGTTTACATGTGTCTGTGTGTGTTTGTTTGTCTGATTGTGTGTATGTGTCGGTCTTTGTGTGAGTGCAATTGTGTGTGTGTTTGCGCGGTGTGTTTGTTGTTTGTTTGTCTGTGTGTTTGTCTGATTGTGTGTGTGTGTGTGTGTCTGTCTTTGTTTATGGGTGTGTGTTTGTCTGTTTCTGTCTTTTTGTTTGTGTGTGTGATGTGTGTGTCTGTTTTTGTGAGCGCATTTGTGTGTGTGTGTCTTTTTGTTTGTTTGTGTGTGTGTGTGTCTGTCTGTCTGTCTGTTTGATTGTGTGTGTGTGTGTGTGTGTGTGTGTTTGCATGCGTTTGTCTGGTTGTGTCTGTATTTGTGTGTTTATGGATGTGTGTGCGCAACTTGGTGAATGTGTATGTGTATTCGTGCATCTAATTGTGTTTGGTGTGTGTGTGTGTGTGTGTGTGTGTGTGTGTGTGTGTGTGTGTGTGTGTGTGTGTGTGTGTTTGTTTGTCTGACTGTGTGTGGTGTGTGTTTTTATGTGTTTGTCTGATTGTTTATGTGTGTGTGTGTGAGTGTGTGTGTGCGCGCGCATGTGCATGTTTATATGTGTGTGTTTGATTTCATGTGTGCATGTGCGCATCTGTGTATGTTCATGTGTGTGTATTTGTGTGTGTATCATCTGAGATGGATGTGATAACCGTGTATAAACAGGGCTATAGATCACGTCTGTCCTCACAGGTGTGTACGGAGGAAACTCTTGAGAAATAGCGGTCAGGACACACACTCATTACACTCATCTACTACATCATAATCCTGCAGCACTCAAACACAAAGGAGATGACCTTAAAATGTCTAATTAGGCAAAGATGCAGACAAAAGCATCATGCCTAAAGATGCAGAGCCAACATTAGCGAGCCGCTTAGCATTGCATCGCTAGGGCTTTTCAAATATTAGACTGCTTTGTCTAAAAAACAGGCAACACTGTGTCGCATTGGGTAGCACGTACGCCTCACAGCAAGAAGGTCGCTGGTTTGAGCCTCAGCTGGGAATTGAGTAAACTAAATTGGCCGTAATGTATGTGTGTGTGTGTGTGTGTGTGTGTGTGTGTGTGTGTGTGTGTGAATAAGTGTGTATAAGTGTTTCCTAGTACTGGGTTGTGGCTGGAAGGTTTGAATATTTTATTGATGAATCGGATAAAAAGACAAGAAAAGCATTCATTTTAAACTGTCAAAGCTCATCCCTAAGCTGCTATAATAATAATAATAATAATAATAATAACGATAATAATAATAATAATAATAGAAATAATAAAAATAATAATAATAATAATAACGATAATAATAATAATAATGATAATAATAATAGTAATAATAATAGTAATAATAACAATAATAATAATAATAATATTAACGATAATAATAATAATAATGATAATAATAATAATAATAATAATAATAACGATAATAATAATGATAATAATAATAACGATAATAATAATAATAATAATAACGATAATAATAATAATAATAATAATAATAATAATAACGATAATAATAATAATAATAACGATGATAATAATGATAATAATAATAATAATAATAATAATAACGATAATAATAATAACAATAATAATAATAATAATAACAATAATAATAATAATAATAATAATAATGATAGTAATAATAATAATAATAATAATAAAATAAAAATCTAAGTAGTTCTGTCCTGTTTTCAATCCAAATATCTAAATATTTTTAAATTAAAATACATACTAGACACATGAAATAGCATAAGAAATTATGTCTTGTTTTCTGAAAAAAAAAACACCTCAAAATAAAGGTAAACGAGCTAAAGCTAAAGCCTGGTTTATTTTTCTGCGTCGAGTGATCAGCGTGACCCACGGCGCATGCAACGTGCGTGGCTGTGCATTTATACTTCTGCGCGCTGTCTCTGCTGTTCTGCATTAACACTACCGAAACGCTAGTTGGCAGTGAGGTGTTAATGTTCCTCTGTGTCGAGTTTCTTCGCTGGTGTTTTGTTTTTTCTGAACGCTTCCTTATTGTACAAGTGGCTCAAACTCGCTCATTTTGAGGCAGGACGTGCAACAACTTTAACTATGAGGTAAACACAAAACAAAACTTTCCATCCGGAGCTCCTTCACGGGACTCCACACTTGTAAACAATCGCTCCATTGGGCTCGCGCCGCTCACGCGACTCTCGGTCCTGCCCAGACTCGTCAGCGCTACCAAGCCGACCAATCACAGAGCGGCATGCGTTGCGACATGTTGTTACATTTTTTGAGAGGTGCACGTCAGCGACGCCAACAGCCACGGCGTAAGGCTATGTGTAGGCTGTGCCATAGCATACGCGTGCGCTTAACGCAGAAGTATAAATCAGCCCTAACTTGTCATGCTTGTCAAGCTGGATAACAAGGAAAACATCACCACCAGGGACTTTACGGTCCTCATTTCAAAACAGAACAAAAGTAGGACCCTGCTGTTGAACTACCTTCTTCCTTATCCCTGTCTATGAGGCGCCGAACTCTGTATCAGTGCGCCAGAGAGACCGTGTTCACTCCGCTCCATGCTGAACTAGTGTTTTTTAATAATCAAACATCTCCGTGTCGCACGACACAACGAATCGATTATGAAATTTGTTGCCAACGTTTTTAGTGATCCATTTTTATCTATTTAATTGATTCGTTGTTCCAGCCCATGCTGGAAAAGTTGGCGATTCATCCCGCTGTGGTAAGCCCTGATTGATAAAGGGACTAAACTGAAAAGAAAATGAATGAATTAATAATAATTTAGCCTTTATAAGCCTAACTGAGTTGTGTACATGCTTTTACGAAAACGCCTCACCCCATATAGATAACTTTCAAAACTTTATATCAGTGAGAGTGAACTGTGGTGCATTATCATGTTATGTAGTTTTTATTGCTCACAGTAGTTTTCCTTCCCCCCTCAGATCTGAACAAAACACACAGTGTCACACAATGAAGTCTTTAAGGTCTCCTAATATACCTATCTCTCACATGCATGCATGTGTGTGTGTGTGTGTGTGTGTGTGTGTGTGTGTGTGTGTGTGTGTGTGTGTGTGTGTGTGTGTGTGTGTGTGTGTGTTTTCAGCTGGTCAGACCAGTCACCGTAGTGCCTAGTGTTCCAGGAATCCCCGGCCCCGCCTCTCCACAGCCCGTCCAATCAGAAGCCAAGATGGTAACGTTCTCATTCTGCATTTGCATACACTCATGCTTCATTTGCATGTCTGAGCTCAGAGGACAGTTTACAACCCTGTCCGCTGCAGTTCCTGTACTGGAGCACCAGAGGGCACCAGTCTGGCCTGGGTTATCAGTGTTTGTACACAACCAGACCAGCTGAGGATGATGGAGGAGTTGTCGTTGAGTTCATTTGACACGTCAACACTTGATTTGAATAAGTGTGAACGCTCTGCCATCTGAACTCAGGTGTTCAAGTTGCAAAACAAGGAGCAAGATGAGTTTCTGTCTACTTTATTATTCAAACATGCATTCATTCTGTGTTTCAACACAAGTCTTAATGCTGCAGATGCACTACTTTCAGATCATTCAAAGGCCCATCATCAATTATTCTTTATATTATAATTATTTGGTGCACACACACACACACACGCGTACACACACGCTTATATTTATGTGGATCAAACACACACCATTCCCAGAACGTAATGTTTATCTCACAAACACACACATCTATGTGCACCAGCAAACACACACCCACACACACAGACACTTAGTGATATTTTGTAAACAAATTTCGAGAGGAGCATTCGACGAAGTTTCAGTATCGAATACGCCATTGACAATTATTCTATTATCAAATCAGTTCTTGAACAAACCTTTATATATACCAAAGCTGTCTTACCTGCAGCATCTCACGACTTCAGCATCCCTCCACCGCCCCGACACCTCACCTCTTAAGCATTACATTCCCGGGCGGAGCGTTCTGGGGCCGGGCTAGATACTTCACTTGAATCCCAGCTCCTCTTTGATTCCTGATAAGGGGAATAACTCGAGTTGGGGTGTCTCCTCGAGCTCATAGCCCTCTCCCTGGACAGCACGCCAAATACGCACTATAAATAAACAACTGCAAGTGTGAACTCGTGAATATCATGCTTATATTAGTGCATCAAACAACAATAAACACACCAGTCCCCTGATAACATGTTTATCACACTATCACACACACACACATAGATAGATAGATAGATAGATAGATAGATAGATAGATAGATAGATAGATAGATAGATAGATAGATAGATAGATAGATAGATAGATGGATATATGGATGGATGGATGGATGGATGGATGGATGGATGGATGGATGGATGGATGGATAGATAGATGGATAGAGAGACAGATGGACGGATAGATAGATAGTAGATAGATAGATAGATAGATAGATAGATAGATAGATAGATAGATAGATAGATAGATAGA